ATGAAATTTTGCTTACTATTTTGAAGAATCTTAATAATTTCGATGTTTTATATTCACTTGTGGGTGTTAGTAAAAAACTCGATAATGTGGCATGTGATATCAACTTTACTCGAAATGTCGATCTAATAATGTTACCATCAAATAAAGCGAATGATTGGAAAACTAGTGTAATACTTGATCGAGTTTTTATGTGCATATTACCTCGAATTCATGAGAATGTAGAATGTCTTACTATTCAAGGATGTTTCTTGCAACGTCTTCTTCTTGCTGGCAATTATCGTAACTTACGCAAACTCATTCTCATTAATCTCGAATTGAAGATGGCTTCTCATGTCTTCAATGGTATGTTAATTGATTTCGAAATGTTCAACAAGTAGAATAGATTTTTGTATTTTTAGAAAATTCTTCATTTATTCATACTTTTAAACACCAAATTTCAGATTTGGTCGTAACGATTAGTGATTCAATTTCAGATAAATCAATGGAGAATTTAATAATTGATATTTATTCTAAAATTTTTGCCTTATTAACAAATCTGAAGTATTTGGATTTGGATGTAGATGATCGCTATCCTTTTCGACAATCATTCCTACGTGATTTACCTTCTACCACATGTTTTTCGTCGAATATTGTTCATTTACGGATTAAAATGTACAATTTTGATGATTGTCTATGTCTACTTGATGGTCGTCTTAGTCAATTACATACATTTATTATCACTCTTGATTACATATATGATATGATGAATTTCATGCGTCGTCGTCCATTAAACATCAGACACGATTCATTAAAGATCATAAATAATTTGGTAAATAAACATATTTTTATTTCAGTGTTTACTAGAAAACTATGGAATTAATAATATTTAGAAAGGATTCTCTAAAATATGTACTCATGTGTAAACAAAAAGCTAAGAAAAGGGAACACATTATGGAAAAACTAGCAAGTGAATAATTTAATTTAAATAATATCTAGTGATATTCCGTTGTGAGCTTTATTGTTCATAAGTATATTTGATTTTCTCGTTTGTAAGTGTGAGTTCTGTATTAAATACATTTAAACTTCTAAATAGAGATGAGAGATAGTTCTATCATAAAATAAACGAAGATATATCTCGAAAAATATAGAAATATTCATATCTCTGTTTTTCGACGCAGAACGTATTCAATTGTACATGAATTCCTTTTTCGTCGTTCATCCATTATTAATTCTATCAAACAAATATGAAAATACAGTTTATTAGTGCAGGCCCTTCTGGGCTCAAATGTGAAGCTCACATTAGTTTTCTACTCATTACACTAATACAAATTACATTAAGTGAAAAATCTCGCAGAAAAGTTATTTTGCACGATAATCGATCATCAGAGTAAGTATCTCTAATATCTGTATATTACCCTAGTGAATGTACTGAGCTAAGGGTACCCGAAAAAGTACCCTGCTACTAGTATGTCACAGGAACTTTCGGGTACTGAAGTACCTTAAAGTACTTTTAGGTACGTATAAGGTACTCGACCAAGTACCCTGCTGGAAAGCATCCAGTAAATCGGTACTTGAAGGTACTGATCAAGTACCCAACCGGGTACTATTGTTCAGTAATTTTGGGTACCCTGTTGCCAAACTTGCAGTATGTCGATGATGGAAACTAACCTCTGGCTTTTTTTCATTTTTGTTTTTCTCAAAGCAATTTATGATATTTTTTCGATTTTATTTCATTTGATTTTTCCAATTCTGAAATGTCAAGCAGGTCAAATTTCGAGATCTGACCGGACGCGAATTGGTCGAATCTCCATCAGACCACTTCAAGGTAGTCTTCCCTCAATCCACGATTGAGATCAGCATGTCCTCGACTAGTAAATAGTCAAGAAAAATAATCTAGAAAAAATTATTATGAAAAATTTTTTTTTTCTTATGCTTCCTTGAGTTGCTTATATGAAGTCGTATATGCAAAAGAAAGCGGTGAATGAACAGTTGCTACACAGAACGCAACAAACCTAGGGTACCCTGTAGAGCTTTTCCTAGTAAAATTACAGGTGCGGGTACTCATGCAAGTACTTGTTCAGTAAACATACTGCAATGGGTACCCAATGCAGTACCTACGTCAGTATAATTACTGAAAATTTTCGAAGTACCCATATCGGGTACCCTGCTGAGGCTTTCTCAGTACATGGGTACCCTGAACTCAGTACTTTCTCTAGGGTAAGCAGAGTTTTTTTAAAATTTTTTCTACGAATAGCCTAGTTTCTGTTTGCATTGTTGTCATTCACTTCCTATGCTCCCATTTTCTAATGCGTTTTTCTTAGTTTAAGATTTTTATTATGATTATTGAATTAAATGGGAAGTGAGCCTATTTTACATATTCATGATATTTACAGCAGATCTTAAGGTTCTATTATGTATCTTAGTCAACTCAAAAAAAAATGATGTGCATTATTTTTCAAAATTATAACTTGATCAATTTTGCAAAAGAAAAAACTAGAAAGTCTGGCGTCTGTTGTTCTAGATTGCTTAAGTCTGTAATGAGAAGGGAGCGGAACCGCAAAATTTCGACTTAAAACTTACATTCGTAATTTTTTTTTGAAAATATATGAGAATTCTACCATATAATAGAGATGAGTATAAAAATATTTTAACTTTTCTTAAACTATGTTTAAGTAAAAAAATTGGAAAGTAACTAATTCAAAAAAAAATGATTAGTCGATACCTTATATACGATCATATGGGTCCATAATCATGTTAAATAGAACTAAGTGAAATCTATGATTGAACGAAGAATTTAATATGATATCATTGCTCAATGTTTATTATATTTTGTTTTTTATTTTTATAGAATACTCTACTTAAACTCAGGTGTTTTTCGTTATATGTATATTTTTCAACAAATGAATTCGACAATCTAGTTGTGCCCCTTCTTCGTCGAATGTCAAATTTAGAAAGGTTAACATTATCTATTCGTGTTCGTGGACGAAATTCATTCATTGATGGTATTTATCTGCATAATTATGTGCTCAGTCAAATGCCACATCTACATACATTTATCTTCAACATTGTTACAGATTTTGTCAGGATTAATCAACAATTTAAACCGTCGTCTGATGATATTCGACGCACATTCATCGAAAAAGGCTATCATGTTGATTGTTTCCGTTGAATATGATGATTTTAAAGGAGGTCGATGTCACGTTTATTCGCTTCCATTCAATATGAAACGTATACGTTACATTACGCATAGTTTTTCTGGTGGTATGTTCATGAATGTTCGCGTTCTGCATATGTGTGATCTTACTTATCCTTTCGAACACGATCTTTTTGCTCGAATCTCGCATTCATTTCCATTACTTAGTAATCTGACAGTCACCAATATAATGCCACAAAATGAAAATCGATCACAACAGCTAGTCGAATCTGAAGAAGCATCCTCAATTATTGAATATTCGCATCTCGTCGAACTTAGCTTCAGCTATGCTAGTACACATATTGACTATGTGGAACAATTTCTTTGCAGCTTGAATACACGTCTACCTTGTCTTAGCAAACTTCATGTTGAATATGAACATTTAGTAACTGTTACAAAGAATTTTACAAGAAATACAACACGTATGAATTGTGCAAAATTGAAACATATTAATTTTCGTCGTAAACTTGGGATCATTCGTTCAAAAGATTTTTACCTTTATTTTCCTTTGTTATCTTACAATAATTGTAAATAATAGACTTGTTTAATAATATATCAATAAAATAAAATGAAAACACCTACTTTTTCAAAGTAAATTGTCTTGTTTATATAAACTTAAACGGTAAATATTTCTGATCTATCTACCTATTATATCATATTTTTATGGGAGATTTTTATTAAGTTGTGTAGGTTAAACTCCTCAAATTTGGTATAGTATATTATGTATTTTACATCAATGGAGAAAATTCTTTACTCTAGATTTTTATGAAAACTTCATTGTATTTTGCTTCTGCTATTTTATAGAAATTAGCAATTACATTAGTCGATCTTTCTGAACACAGTATGGAAGATTAGTCTTTTGAGTCAAGTATTATTTCTGAAATGTTTATTGTCATATTATCGAAAGTGTAAATTATTTCTAAATGAATGGTTTAATCAGTGCAAACTATTCGATTATCCATATGAAAAAATAGTCGAAAAACAACAGTTTCAGAGAAAAGAGCTTTACCTATGTTTTTAAGAATCTTTATTATTATATTTATTTCGCAGATATCTCTTCTCTAACTTAGAAATACAGATCAATACATAAAGAATGTGTTGGCATATAACTGAAACTTCAGCGACATTCCTATAACAAATTGTTATCCTCGTTTATCATTTTTTCGTAGTAGTTGACTAACTGTCAGTTGTAGTGTTCTGCATAATCATTCCATCGTGGCCAAAGAAAACAATGATTGTTTGATAATAGTTTTCATTGTAGGTATTAAAAAATAATTCTACTTGTCATTTTGTATTATTTTTATTTTTGGAATAATAAATAATCGAAATCTTTAAAAGAAATAAAAATTTATAATAAATTCAATCGACTATTCTATTTTTTGATTGTAAAACATTTAAAAATATGTTTGAAAAATATATGAATTTATTTATAATACTGTGAGAAAATCATCGATAGAACTTCAGTTGAAAATAGACTAATCTCTTTTGTTAAAAAAAAAAATATTAGTTTGATTTTTTCATTATCTGTCAATATTAATTTTTTTTTTTCACAATCATTTTTACTTTTCGATTCAAATAAAATTTATGCATTAGAATTAAAAACCTATAAATGAATAATTAATTTAAAAGAGTTCAACAGAAAAGTTTTACAATGAGTTTGTTTAAGTGTGATTGATATTCAGACGAAGTTTTAGAAATAACGAAGCATTTCAATCAATCATTTTTGATGTTTTTGATAGAAATATTGCTAATTGACGAGTCATTTTCAGAGTAATGACACACAAAAACATGTTTTCTTTCTGAAGTGCACAAACCTTGAAATCCTCATGTAAGAAATAGGTATTGTTAAAACCAATGTGCCACATTTAATGACAGAAAAGTTTTGAGTACGAAAAAGTCTTAACAAAATGATTTATGTGAGAGAAAACTTTTTGGTTTATACAATATGAGTTTTCATTGTATCAAATAATATTACTAAACCTTGAATATAAATATAATCAGCTTCAAATTATATATTGAACATAAATATAGTCAATGAGAGTAACCCTATCGTCACTTTATCGATAACCTCTATGCATTAACTATGCGATTTGAATTCTAAAAAAAAATGAATTGCCGAAAGCATTCATCAATGACACGATGAAATCTATACTATTTGACAATATATATGATTTCATGTTATATCTCAAAACATATCAGCTGATTCGAAATTTTTTTTAATCTCATGATACTCTAATAAAAAATACATAATTCGAAAGTGCGTGAAAAACTGAATATGATGATCTAATTTTGAGGAAAAGGTACTCCAAAGTCCCCAGTAAAATTTTTTAAAAAGCATTTCACAGGCAAAGTACTTTCTTATGTGCACGTGCGTTGGTTTTCTTACACATTACGAAAAAAAACTAGCAAAGATATGACACGCGGTTTATCAAATAATTTGTGTTTTTGAGAATAGTACTTCAAAGAATTTCGTTTAAGATTTAAAATAATCACGAAACTCAGTTTAATATACTATCTCAAATATAATTATGTCATGTTAATCATAACTCAGAAACGTTTCAGCATATTTAGACTTAATTGTAATCACATCATCAAACTTATTAATTGATCTAATAAAAATCAACTACTTAAAATTTTTAAGACAAAAAACTCAACTCAGAGTGACGCAAATGATTCAGAAAATCGATGAACATAAGAAATAAAAGACAAACTGAACTATTTTAAATATTATTAATAATTAGGTTTTGGGAGAGAAAATTCATTTTTTCTCTGTCAAAAATGAAAGATTTTCAAACCAATCTATGTAGTTTTGATGAAATCTGTAACAACAAAAATTTACAAACTTTTAGTATTGATTGACGAAATCTTCAAGACATGAGGTGAACGTATTATTCACAAGAAGCATGAAAAGTTTTTTTTATAGAATTATCTTATAACTTGTGGATATATTGAAAGACACGCATCGTATTCTTGTTTTCTGTCAACTATACACATCATACATGAACAAGCACATATATACACAGAGAACGAAAGAATATAGATCATTGAGGGAACAGGACAGAAAAAATGATATATATCTGAAGTATTTTGTTTGTGAGTGTATTTTAAAAATTTTTGCTAGGAACTTAGGAGTACCTTTTTCTCTAAATTAGATCATCATATTTAGTTTTTCATGCTCTTTCGAATTGTGTATTTTTATTAGACTATCATGAAATAAAAAATTTCGAACTAGTTGAAATGAAAACAAGATACTTTATTTTTGTGTACTCAAAAAGTGAGTACACTCTAGAATCGGTCAGTGTGTCCGGCCGTCCGGCCGGCCGTCCGGCCGTTAACACGATAACTTTTGAAAGGAGAGGCCGATCACGATGAAATTTTCTACACAGTTTAGTCTTAACAATATCTCGGTCGAGTTCGAAGATGAGCATGATCGACCGAGCCATTCGTGAGTTATTGCAAAAATAGTCATTTTTCCCTATGGCTTCCTATGCGAAAATCGACCGATCCCAGCTTTCGTAAACAACTTTTCCTATCATAGTTAAATAAAACCCCAACTATTATATACCATTCGATAGAGAATTTCACGAGCTACAAAATGGTATATAAAACATAAAGAAACAAGAAAGCTAACTCACCTATTGCAAAGATAATTAAACGGAATTTGGTTTTGTTCTTGTCCACGCTCTAATTGATCTACAATTAGAGCTCTATCTTCCGATCATACAGATGATAGTTCGAGGTTTTCTGGGGTGGAGAACTCGAATATGTGCTCCATTCGCCTCGAAATTCCATTGGTTGAGCAGTAACCAATAGCAATCAAGTTATAGGAAAAAAGACTTTCTTAGGGTAAATCAAGACGAAGAGTTCAAATCTGAGCTGTATTTACCCCAAATCCTATTGGTTGAGCAGTAGCCAATAGAAATCAAGTGTTTATAGAAAAAGTTTGCCAGGATAATTTTTATGTCTCCACATTCTAGGATGACTCATCTGCCTCATTCACTTTTTGAAGTACACATAACTCTCGGATTTAAATCCGAGGTTTCCACATTTATTATTTCTTGTTTTCTGTTAAATAAATGTTCAAGATAACTTATCTGGGCTTAAAAATTAAAAGTTAAATTTTAAAAATCCTAATGGAACTAAAAAATTGTTTATACCCCACTCACTAGGAAAAGGTTGTGACTAAAAGAGAATATTCCAATTATACAGTTATACAGTATCAATAAGCATTGGGGGTTTTTTTTTATGTTATTCATCCATTGACACCATTTAAATTTTTTTTGTTGTTTGATTATGCAGATTTAGTTCGTGATGTCCATCTTTTTTTATGATTTTTTACAATATTTTTTTTTGAACGCTTACGAAAACCATTCGAAATTTATTTTTAACACCATCATATGTCAGTTGATGCTCATATGCATCTTGTTTCAAATGATATACCATTTAAGATGCGATTAATTCCACTTTCTCGACAACTGTAAGGCGTACTGGAAGTTTATGTATTTCTTAATAGTAATACTACGTTCTGAGTTTTTACCAGATTCGACTTTTTTCAGATAGAGCCTGACACAAAATGGAAAACTGTGAGCTCTATATGGATCGTGAAATTTGATAAAGGGTGTGGGTGTGGGTGTGGGTATTCTTCTTCTCTTTATTCACACCCACATCCATAATGTCGAACAAAAGTGCAGCTTATTTTGATATAATCTTACAAATTGCTTGTCTATTGATCGCGGGAGATGCAGTGTTTTCAATACAAAGAAATACTGCAAAAATTTAAAATATCTATAGGAAAAATGATGAATTATAACATAGTGATACCATTTATTTTTATGATAATCGCTAGAGAGAAACAGCGGGGACTTCGCTCATGAAGTCCTGAAGTCTTTTGAAGTCTTATGAAGTCTCTGAAGTCTTGTGAAGTCTTTAGAAGTTTTGTGAAAATTTGAAGTCACTATGGTTGAAGTCCTTGAAGT